GTGTTGGAGGAGCCCCAGAAATGAGGTTCCTCGTGGTCAGGAGTCTTGGTATCCCCCAAAGCCGTGAAAACCCCTCTTTGCCAGCAAACTCCATCCTGGGGAAAGTTCCCTGCCAGCAGCATTTCCCTCCCTCTGGAGACTGTTCAGCTCCTGTCAGAGAAGCCCCTCACACCCCTCCAATCCCAGCAGGTTCCCAGGGAGTGGGAACAACAGGGACAAAATGCCCAAGTGGTTCCTGTGTAATCAGTGCCAGCCCTGGGATCCCCCTGAGCCTCGATTTCCACGACTTCCCAGCCACACCAACACTGGGAGCCCTCCTGGAACATTTCCCTGCTCATCCTTCTCCGAGTTCCTCAAAACCAGCTCCAGCTGAAACGCAGTTGTTTTCATTATTATTATTATGATTATGGAAATTCAGCTCGGAAATGATCAATTTAGGGATTAAAAAGTGTGGCCAAAACTAGACATCAAACTACTGCTGGATTCTTTCCCTCCTTGCAGCAGCTCCAAAATGGTTGGAAAAACTGTTATAATTTAAATTTACAGACCATGTGATTGTCAAATTGACCACAAGTTAATATTCTTACATCAACATAAAATAAAAATCACACCTGACAAAAATCACTCTGAAAATAATAATGATTATTATTGTAGTAATTCACCTACACCCACATTTAAATATCCCAACTGTTCAAAACTAAGATTGTTGGATTAATAAGACAAAGAGTAAAAAAAAAAAATAAAACACCAATTTTAAATCATACAAGTTATAAATCTTTACTACTGAGTAATACTGGGACTTTTATCCCACTGGCAGCTCACTGGGATCTTACTTTCCAGAAAAAAGAGCCCTGGAGGGTGATTTCCAAACCTTCTGGCCCCAAACACCCCCAGTGACAGAGTGGGAACAGTCACAAGCTGACAAGAAACCCTGAGTAATTTGTCTCTCTCTTAAATGCAGGAAAAACACCATCCCCTGAATTTCATTTACTGCCCAAAAGTGCTTCTAAGAAATGCAGCAAATGTGGTTTTCAAGTACAGCCTGGTGAGGTTGAACAATTCCAGGAGAAAAAGTGGTGGGGAATGAGGGCCCCAATAGAGTCTTCCCCCCGTAAAGCACTATTACAATTGTATACACAATTATGACCTGATTTATGATTTATTGAACAGATTTCTGTAGCAATGTGGGGAAGGACAGTAATTAAAGCTACACTTAAAAAAACACACATATTCTTAAATGATTTCTTCATCTGATTGAGTCCCACAGGCAAATGTTCACCTGTTCAGCTCTGAATCCAGTGTTTTTCTAGACCATTTCCTCTACCATTTTTCTGAGATATCAGTTCTTTTCACAGCCCTGATGGATATATTCACGTTTATGTTCACTTTTGAGGTAGTTTATTGGTAAATACAACAACCTGGGCTTTGTGGGAAGGAGGAAAACACCTCCCCAGCTACACATCCCTGTTTAACCCCCCCAGTCAGTTTGTGACCCTCTCTAAGTCCCCAGGTGTTTCTGGCTAAGGCCATTTTTAAAGTCCACAGTCATAAAAATGAACCTATTCAGGAAATCTGCAACACAGGAAAGCTGAGCTGAGATCTCAACATAAAATTTTCAGCACTGTCCTAACTCAGTGCAGGTAGAAGTCACCAGGATCCCACTGGCTCCCACATCCGAGGCCAAAGCAGCACCTTCCAGGCAGGGACTGGGGGCTGGGATGTTCAGTCCCTCCCCTGACCCCGACTTTCTAACCCTACAGATGTGGTGGACTAGCTCACAGGACACCACGTTCTGCCTGCAGCCAGGATTCCCTACAGCACAAGCAGGAATTCCCAAGGATTTCCCAGGCATTTGCTACAGTTCAGTGTCTTTTCAGCCCTAAAAATGGGGAGGGAAAGAACCCCAAACCAAACCCAAAGTCCCAAATTCCATTTCACCTGTGCTATGTATTTTCTTGAATCCTCAGCTGTGAGACTTCCAGAGTCACTCACTGAATATCCCAATCCACCAGGATCAGCCAGTGCAGCTCCTGGTCCTGCTCAGGACACCCCAAAATCCCCCCCTGTCCCTCAGAGCGTTGTCCAAACCCTCCTGGAGCTCTGGCAGCCTTGGGGCCGTGCCCACTGCCCTGGGGAGCCTGGGCAGTGCCAACCACCCTCTGGGGGAAGAACCTTTCCCAAAATCCATCCTAACCCTCCCCTGGCACAGCTCCAGCCGTTCCCTGGGTCCTGTCCCTGCTCACAGGGCTTCCTGAGCAACTCCCTCCTTCCAAACAACCACCACAGGGACACTTAACAACAGGAAAACAAGAAAAGACCTTCTAACACATTCACAGATCCAGTTTCTGAGCACCAACAGCCTCTCTGCCTCCTCAAGGCACAAACGCTCCAATCCCACCCCAGTCTCCTGCACCATCAGGTGTTCCCAGCCTTGGACACACGTTTTATTTCAGGTCTCTCAAGCACAAAGCACGAGGCAGTTCCCAGCAGCAGCTTATTGACAGAGGCTCAAGGAGCAACACTCAACAAAAGGGCTTTTGGCTGGTTTATTTCTGGGTTTGTTTTGGGTTTTGTTGTATTTCCTCAAAACCCCAGCAGTTGGAGGCTGGGGGAGAATCAGCAAGATCTTACATAATATCCAAGCGTGCAGAGAGCTGAGCTGGGAGGGGAGAGGAGGGATGGGACAGCACCACAGGGGCTGGTTCCAAGTGGGGGGCTCCAAACTCCATCAGTGACACAGCACGAGCTGCTGGCTGTGCAGGAAATCGGGATATTTCCCAGCTTTGGGCCCGATCCTGCAGAAATAACGTCTGGGAAGGGGATGGAGCCGAGGACTCCAAGTTTCCAGGTCCCCAGGGGGGGAATGCTGAGCACAAGGGGTGCCAAGAGCAGAGCTGGTAAGTCCCTCTCGTTGGAGGCTGGATTGGGATCCCAGAGAAACCACCCTGGGAAACAAACCCTGGGCCTGTTCCTAAGGCTGGGTCTGTGCAGAGGCTGCACTGGAGATTAACCCTGAACCTCCCCCCACCCAGAGAGGAATTAATTGTTTTTAAGATTTATCAGCCCTAATCTAATCTAATCTACTGGCAGAACTGGTGCCTCCTCCATGTCAAAATACCAGCAAATTAATATCATTTACACAAGAAACAAAGTGGTTTTTTAAGCACTTCACTGTGCTCTGTGCACTCAGTGATGGTCTCACCCCGTGTCACACTGACCCCTCTTCCACTTCAACCCCCTCCCTGCCCTGGATTTACACCCAAATCCTGGTGGTTTTGGGGAGAAAGCAGTTTTATAACCTCGGTAACTCCATCCAGTAAATCAGGCTGTCAGATTTGAGAGCAGTTTGCATCTGCCAGGCACAGTTTTGTATTACTGTCCTCTGCTGATGCAGTGACAGGATGACACCCTCAATGCACTTCTGTGCTGCCTTGATCTCAATCCCACCCAAAAAGTACCAAAAAGAAAGGGGGGGGGGGGAAATCTATTTTTTTCCCCTCAGGTCACAACAAAACAAGTGACATAACGAAACCAAATAATTCTGGGCAGCTGCTTAAAAAATGTCACTGAAAAAGAAGTCAAGTTGTATGTTTTACTTAACTAATTTTTGGGGATCTTTTTTAATAAGCGAAGAGTTCTATTTTATAAAGCATAAATAAGTTTAATTCTACAGACTTTTACTGGGTTTCACAACGAGCCACCCCAGACACAACCACTAAGAACTCCAAAGGCAAAGGAAAAAAAAAAGGAGGAAATCCCAGAAAAGTGTTTCTTTGCCTTATTGTCAGGACGAACACAAACAAACACATTTGGCAGCGCCGAGTTCCGGGAAATTGACAAGTACCACCACATTCGATTATTTTTCTCCCCCCAAAAAACTGCTGTCAGAACAAGCCAATGCCATTTCCCAGGCAGCCTGGAAAACACTCCTGGAGCGCTGGTTTACCTTTCTAACACCATCAATCACACAGTGCCCGCAGGAAGCGGGGGCTCTGTGCCCCCCGACCCCCCCGGTCCCACATTCCGCCAAGAAAGCGAATTATGTGCCTTTCCACACCGCAGGATGATGCACCATTTCCTTCCAAACACCACCACAGGCCCGAGACCCGGCTGGGAAGCACCAGCCCCCCCCCAGTTCCCACAGGATTTGGGAATGTGCCCCCTCAGCCCCAGCGAGGCCACAGCCTGTCACCCCTCACCCGGCGATGCCGCCCCGGTCCTGCCCCCCACTCGCGTCCCCTCATCACCCAGTCCCGACCAGCCCCTGCCCCTCTCCCCCAGCGCGGGGGTCTCCAAGAATCCCCGCTCCGTGTTTTCCCCCAACTTTTCCCCGCCGCCCCCCCTTCCCTCAGGCCCTGCGCCCCCCCCAACTCCTTCCCCTCCGCTCTCACCTCCGGGCCCTGGGAGAGGCCCCGCCGCCGCTGCGGCGCTGCTGGGAGGCCGGAGGGGCTCCGGGAGCGCTGTGGGGGCAGGAGCGGAGCGAGGGGACGGCCCGCGGACCCCGCAGCCCCCTCAGGAGACCACCACCGGCAGGGGATCACTATTTGGCAGCATGTCCTCCCCAGCCGGTCCCCGCCGAGCGCGACCCGCGGATCACTATTGCGCAGGTGCCCGCAGCAGCTCAGCGCGCATGCGCGGGGAGGGCCGAGGCGGCGAGGGGGGCGGCCCGGCGCTCCCCTCACGGCCGCGCACGCGCAGTGCGCGACTGACGCCAAAGGCCACGCCCACTACCTTTTACAGACGAGCGGCCCCGTCGCGCGAGACATTTCCTTCCCCCCGCGCATGCGCCGCCCTCCTGCGGCGCCGCTGACGGCTCACTTTGTGGCAGGCCCTGCTCCTGCCGTGCCTCCTGCATGGATCACTTTGTGGCAGGCCCTGCTCCTGCCGTGCCTTCTGAATGGATCACTTTGTGGCAGGCCCGGCCCCTCCTCTGCTTCCTTTGATGGATCACTTTGTAGCAGGTGCCTCGCGGCACCGACCTCCCTGCGCCAGTGCGAAGGGAATGGCGTGAGCCGTGTGCCGTGAGCCGTGTGCCCTGTGCCCTGCCCTCACGGCTCTGTGAGGGGGCACCCGGCTGAGGGAATGGCGTGAGCCGTGTGCCGTGTGCCGTGTGCCGTGTGCCCTGTGCCCTGCCCTCACGGCTCTGTGAGGGGGCACCCGACTGAGGGAATGGTGTGAGCATTCCTCACGGCTCCGTGAGGGGGTGTCTGACTGAGGGAATGGCCTGTGCCATTATCCCTTCTCTCATGGCTCCATGAAGGACCAGCTGCCTCAGGGAATGGCCTGTGCCATCGTCCCTTCCCTCCCGGCTCCATGAGGGGTTATCTGACTGAGGGAATGGCCTGTGCCATCGTCCCTTCCCTCCCAGCTCCATGAGGGGGTATCTGACTGAAGGAATGGCCTGTGCCATCGTCCCTTCCCTCCCGGCTCCGTGAGGGGGTATCTGAAGGAATGGCCTGTGCCATCGTCCCTTCCCTCACGGCTCCATGAGGGGTTATCTGACTGAAGGAATGGCCTGTGCCATCGTCCCTTTCCCTCCCAGCTCCATGAGGGGGTATCTGACTGAAGGAATGGCCTGTGCCATCGTCCCTTCCCTCCCGGCTCCATGAGGGGGTGCCTGCCTGAGGGAACACCATCTCCCCTTCCCTCCCGTTTCAGCGAAGGACTCCCTGCCCGAGGGAATGTTGCGCTCTTAAGCAAGGTATTTATATTAACTTTTTGAGAAAGGGATTATGCAGCAAACACCCTCTCTGTCTGCCATGCCGGGGTGTGAACTGAAAGCTTGGGAGAGACCTCAGAGACCTCTGAGCACCTACGAGAGGGTTGGCAAGGAAATGGGGCCAAGCACGTGGCAGGAGGGTGAGAAACAAAAGTAAAAACAAGAAAGATTTAAATTCCAGATGAGAAATTTGTACACCACCACCACAGATGAGAGAGGTTGCCCAGAGAGGCTTTGCAGTCTCTACTGGAGGTATTCAAGGTCTGGTTAAATAAAGCCCTGAGACACCTTCTCCCCTTTCACAGGTGACCCTGCATCAAGTCCCTCCCAACCCTAATTATCCCGTGATCCCGAGATGTCATCCATGTACAGGTCTTCTCTAATTTGTAAAGGTTTTTAACCAGTGAAGCAAAATTTTCATCATTAGTAGTCCTTAATTATTTACACGTTTGTAGAGAAGCTTATCCTTTCTCTCCTGCCAGTTCCAGCCTCAGGGTGAATTAATACAATTACACGCAAATAACCGAATTAACCAGGCTCCACAGTACATCCCACACTTATTTCAATGAGAAGTGCAGAATATTTCAGTCTCATCCCTCATTCTCTCAGATGAAAAACGCTGTTGCCCTCGGCACATCAGCTCCAGGACGCTGGGCTGCCACTCCCGTCCACTGCTGATTCCCAGTATTGCCTGCTTCATTCCCAACGTTTTCTCCAGCGCCCTGGGTTTTCCTGGCAAGCGCCTCATCCAAGTCATGACCAATCCTTGGACCCTGCTTCGTTCCCTCGTTTCACAAACTGCTGCCCACGGTGACAGAACAGCAGGTACTGCTGCATTGTGATGAAGGAATGCCATAAAACTGCCCCTCCTGAGCTATGGGCTTGGCATTAGCATTCCTGTTCTGGCCACACATTTCTCCTAGAGACTTGTTTTCATACCCCTTCCATCACCCCGGGTTTTATGTTCCCACGTAAGCTGTGGATTTTTAGTGATGTGTTTATCCTCTTAGAGCCGAAGTACCAAAGGAAATTACAGCACCAGTTCTAGAGAAAACAAAGAGATTCCCCCTCCCCTCTCAATTCAAGCAGAATCGAGACAGAATAAACAGAAATTCTCCTTTAATTCAGCACTGGCCAAGTGTCACTTAGAGGGGGGTCGACTTCTTTTGGAGCTTATGACGTTCTCCTGATCAAAATTCTCTTGTTCACAGGAAGCAGAAAATTAAATGGGGTACCTGCGAAAATGAAGATGGAACTTCACCTCTCCTCCGTATGTAAAAGTTGTTGGGGGTCAGTTCTGTCCTCCTCAGTGGCAGGGACAAGAGGAATGTGGTCCCTCGCCCTGCCCAGCCCCTGCCCTGGGCTGGTTCAGTTCTGGATAAAGGGCTGGACAATCCCTGAGCCCTGACATCGGGGTGGGATGAGCTGATGGGAGCAGGTGAGAGCACTGAGTTCTCAGGGGCATTTGCTCTGGGTGGGACTCTCACCTGAGCCACGCAGGTGGGTTTTCCCCCTCAGAAGCAGCACTGGGTGCTGATGCCCACCCGGGGTTGGAGGTGCCACCCTTTGCACATCCCAGTTTGATTTCCCTGCGACACTGATTAAACCCGGGGCTGGGGAAGAGTCGTGTGCAAGAATTTTAACCAGCTCCTGCTTCTTAATATTCAACTTCCTCTTTGGTTTTAATTATTTTGTCCCTGCGTTTTCCCTTTCAATTTACTAAAACTCCAGAAATGTAATTAGGGAGAGGCTGAACCCGGAGAAAGCTGCCAGCGTTTCTACATCATGATTAAATGTATCAGCCGTGCCTTCAGTGAGAGGCTGAGAAACAGGAGGCTCATAATTGCCTCCCTGTTATCCAGGAAAGAATCTGCGACACGTAGGGATACAGAGTTATTGAAAATGCAGCACTAATTAAAATCTCATATAGGCTCCCCAGGATTGAGAGGATGAAAACAAGTTATTTCATTATTTCCCGGATTTGCCATCTTTGTTACAAAACCAAACAAACCCTTTCTAAACAAAGCCCATCTCAATCACTGGGGAGACTTAATGAGGCTCTTAGAGATGCAACAGTAACAAACACATCGCAAGGTGCTGATTCCCCTCTCCCGGTACCAGGGAGACCCCCAGAACTCATTTTCTGGCTGTAAAGAGAAGGGAATGTTGTGGCAGAGCCACAAACTGGAACAGAACCATGGCTGGGTTTGAGGGGCCGGTTTGTTTTAAATTGGAGCCATTAAGGATCCTTGATATTCCAGGCTTTTGTGGTTTAATTGTTAAATCACAGCCAGCACGCCAAGTGCTGACAGGGTTGGTGAGGAGAGGGAGAGCTGCTGAGATCCTGGGTGCTCCCAACCGTGGCAGTCGGAGCATCCTCCAGGGAAAGGAGCCTGGTCTGAGCTTTGCTTTTCCAACCCTTTTGCTCCAAATTTAATTTGCAACAGAATGGCAAGTTCTGAGCCAGACACTGAGTGGGGCAGCCCCACGGCCCCTTCCCTGGCAATGGAACCTCCAGTGCTGGGGGGGCAGGAGGGTGACAAATATTGCCCACCCGTGAGAACTTGTACAATGTAGAGGGCTCAGGCAGCTCATTCACACACACAAAACCAAAGCTGGGCAGCTGGCTGCTCCCAGTCTCAAGGCAGAAATCCTGAAGGGTCTAGGAAGGATACAGGAAAGAGGTGGGGTTCACTGAGCTGGGTTTTACCTCAGGTGGGTTTCACTTCCCCGGTGAGGGGCTGGGATGGATTTCCCAGGGAAGCTGGGGCTGCCCCGGCCCTGGAAGTGTCCAAGGCCAGGATGGAGCAACCTGGGATAGCAAAAGGTGTCCCTGCCCGTGGCAGGGGTGGCACTGGACAGGCTTTAAGGTCCCTTTCCACCTGGTCTAAAATTACAGGTACCTCCATTTTTAGGTCCTTTCTGACCCAAACATTCCCTGGAGTGTTCCAGTTCCAGGCTGTGCCTGTGCTCAGAGCTGTCCCAGCCTGGGCACTCCATCCATCAGCTCCTTCCTGCCTGGCATCTGGATCCAGTGGCACCTGTGTCCCTCCAGATATAAAGGATGAACTTGCTCTGGCACAGCCACCACATCCAGCTCTAAATTCAGTACAAATCAGCACTTCCATGAGAAAATTCCTGCTGGTGGTCACAGAATCCCAGAATTACTGGGGTTGGAAAAGCCCTCCAAGATGATCCAGCCCACCCTGTGCCCCATCCCCACCTTGTCCCCCTGCCCAGGGCACTGAGTGCCACGTCCAGGTGCCTTGGGCACCTCCAGGGATGTGACCCCACCACGTCCCTGGGCAGCCCCTGCCAAGGCCTGGCAGCCCTTTCCATGGAGAAATCCCTCCTGGTGCTGGGACAGTGCCCTTTCTCACATCCCAACCCCTCAGAGCTCCTGCTATGCACATTTCTCACCCAAACTCACTCTCCTGACTTCGAAACACCACAAAACAACTCAGTCATTTTTTGCCGTGATTAAAAACTACTTCTCTTTACGAGAAAACAAACATTGCTTAAAAAAACCCATAAATTTGACCTCCTTGAGAAAAAACTCTGACTTGGAGATTTTAATTGCAGGGAATCTGTTCCTTTTTGCTATTTTTACCTGTATTGGAAAAGTATCAAAGCTGATTTTTTTTTTTAGGAGAGGAAATTATACTTTAAAATGCACAATTGTGAGGAAGTGACTCCCCAACGTCTTTGAGTTGGTGCTTTGTTTCTCCCCCTCAGAAGCATCTCCTGCCTTCCCCGATGAGCCTGCTCTTGTTTTTTAGGCTGCTTTGCTTCAGGATGCTTTTGATCCTGCCTTCATTAAAACCTCATCCTGCTGCTCCCCACCAGCCCTAACGGGCTGTGAAATTATTTCCCTTTCTCCGAGGAAGTTGTTAACTCTGGGAGCACCTGCAGGGTGGGGGAGCTCGGAGTGTTGTCAGAAATGCCCAGATTTACCCAAGATCTATCCCAGCCAGCCTTTCCCCCACAGCAGGAATCAGCTCCTCAGTGTGATCCCAGCGATCTCCCCGGCTGGAGGGGTGGGAATGGGCTGAGGGTGCTGATAATTGGACAAAAGACTTGGAAGCTGAGGGTGAGATTCACTCTGCAGAACAGAACAGGGGAGTCTGAACGACCATAAAGGGCTCAAGCAGCTGAAAACAAAACAAAACTAAACCAAAAAAGGGGGGGGGGAGAAGTACAAGCAGCAAATAAAAAATAGGGACCAGTGAAGTGATTTGGTAAAGGGAGACCCTGAAAATCTGGACCTTCAGGGTCCTTGACAACAGTCAAGGAAAAGGGTTTTTAAGGTATCCACAAACTAAGAATTTTTCACCCCCTCAGCTCTGGGATTCAAAACTAAACCACAGTTTATTATTTCTTATTTCCTGCTGGTGGGAGACAGGAGAGCTCCCTAAATCTGTGCTTTCCACACTTAAATGTTACTATTCATTATTGCACTCAAATATTAACAACTAAAGGTTAATATTGACTGTCAGTTTGTATTTTCTTGTACAAATTCTAGCACATATTGTGACTTAACTATTGCTGCTCCACAACATCCCAGTTCCAGCATTTCCAGGGCTGCTCTTCCCACTGGGCTGTGCCCACCCTTCCTGTGAGGGGGTGTTTATAGATGATGAGAGGCTGCATCCTCCCCGGGTTCCTGGGATTTATGGAACTCACACTTCCCTAAAACACTGACTGGCTGCAGGAACAATTAATTCCATCCCAGGTGTTTGTTCAGTTATCAGGTGACAGAGTCCTGCTGCTGGGGAACATCAGTGGAGTGAGTCCACCCAGTGACCTGAAGTGACAACGTGAGTCACCTCAGAGAGACAGAGGGGGAAAGACACCTTAGAATTTATCAAACCAGAGAAAACAAAGCTTTTGTTAAAACTGTGCACATTTGAGGGGCAAAGGAGTCCTGTGGGGCAGCAGAGCTGGGACAGATGGGCCCTGGGTGGCCCCTGCTCCTGTTCCAGCTGCAGGAACTCACTGGGGGCTCCAAACAAACCACTTCTTTCCAACAAACTCGCCCAGATTTCTGTTGTAGAGGGGAGATCACAACATTTGACTAAAGGTGGGGTCCCTCCTGCAGAAAAGCAAATCACCGAGTCCAGGGACCATCATGGAAACCTTTCCCTGCTGTCCCCAAAGTCATGGACCCTCAGGGTTGGCAACTCGTTGACTTCAAAGGAATGATGACAATTCCTTGTCCATCTCCACTGCTGTGACCAGAAAATTACCAACTCATGGACTTCAAAGGAATAATGAGAATTCCTTGTCCACCCTTCCCATCCTGTGACCAAAAAATTACCAACTCATGGATTTCAAAGGAATAAGGACAATTCCTTGCCCACCTTTCCCATCCTGTGACCAGAAGATCATCCCTTCCACAGTCACTGCCACCTCTACAAACCCCCACCTCCCATCCCAGCTCCTCTGTGCTCTGAACACTGGGGCTTGTTTTGAACCACCTGCTGACAGAGCTGGAGATAAACCCGAGGCAGAGGAAAGGAAAAGGGACGTGGTGCCAAGTTTTCCCCCCCGTGGATCCACATCTGGGCTCTGAGCCCAAACCTGCCCCTCCTCAGCTGCTCCACCAGGAGCTCCTCCTGCAGGGCCAGCACAGCCGGGAGAATCTGCCTGTTCTGTCCCTGCCTGGCTCCTCTCACCTCCCCAGAGCCACAGGAGCTGACAGGGCTCCTGGGAGAATCCTGCCAGGAATGTTTCCAGCCAGGCAGTGGGGCTGTGGGCAGGGAACCAGCAGTTGGAGTGCTGGGGGATTCTCCCACAGCCCCAAACCACCCGGCCCTGCTGGTGGCCAGAAAGGGCTGAACGGAGCAAACAAGGAGGAAAACCCGAATTTCCCCCTTGGTTTTGCTGCTCCCAACGACTCCAGCAGTGGAGTCACAAAAGGAATTAAAGAGGAGCTGCTGCTTTGTTGCTTTTCCTCCCGGTGTTCCTCGGGAATGGCTGAAATGAGAGTTCCCCCTGCTGGACACTGCCCGTCCCGAGCGGGCTGTGGAGCCGGGGGGAAGCAGGAGAGAGGGAAAGGGAATCTGCAGAACTTCACGGTTTGTGCTTGCAGGGCTTTGTCTGAGGCCCTTCCCAAACTCACCTCCCTCCTCTGCCACCTCTGCTGGGGCAGGAGCAAAGCAACACCTCGGCCACTTCCTTCTTGGAATAAGCAAAGCAGGACTTGGCAGCAGGAGTTAAAGATCCCTCTGCCCAGCCTGGATTGCTGCAGGATCTGAACTCCAGTGTCAACACTTGGGCCATTACTCATCTCTTGAGGGCAGAAAGTGCTTCCTGACACTTCACCCAAACTGCAGCTTCCGCCTCTGAAGGACACTGGAGCTGTTTATGGAATGAAACGGAGCCAAGGAACTATCAAACACAATTATCCCCCTGCAGAAGGGCCTCCCCCAACACGGGAGGGGTGGGGAAAACAGGGAGGGAGAGGGAGAGACTTCCAGGAGCAGCTCAGGGAAGAGATCAAGGTCCCATCTGGAGGGACGAGAGGCCAAAGCCCCGAACAGATGGAGAGCAAGAGGCAGCTGCAGGAACAGCCTTTCATGTGCAAAGTTTGCCCCTTGGAGAATCCCACTCTGGAGCATCACTGGATAACAACTCCTCCCCTCCGGAGCAGGGATGCTGTTCATTAACCAGGGCCCAATTAAGCAGGGCCCTGTAATTAACTGTTGTCCCCTCAGCTGGGCAGGTCTGGCAGCAGAAGGTCCTGGCTGGGGGGGGAAAAAATGAATTTGGGCCCCCTGGTTAAACAGGTTCCCTGGGAAGCACCAGGAATTCCAGTGTGGAAGGGCTGGGATGAAGGACATCGGGATCTCCCAATGGATGAACGTCCCACCGGCTGCTCCAACTCCCTCATGGAAAACCACACGGCCAGGGGGGCTTTTCTCCAGCCTTTAATCCAGGGATCACTCCAGGCCACGCCAAAGAGCTCACGGAATTCTGGGCTGAGCCCCAAACCAACCGGAATCAAAAGTTCGGGAAGAGTGGCCATTGGCTGTTTTTCTTTAATAAAGATATGAAGGATTTGTGGGTTTTGTCCTGTTAAGGCAAGAATTTCCTGCTGCTGCTCAGCTCCGATTACAGAAAACCAACGGGAAAAAAAAGCTCAATTACGCTCCAAATTAAAGTGTTACATCTGTAGGACAATTCAGAATCAAAAAACTGAAACAAACCAACAAAAGATTCCACACAGTCTCCTCCTGATTCCCTCTCCTGAGTCCAGTTGAACAGATCTTGAGGTACAAGACAATAAATTAAAAGTTCATTCCGTCTGCGGGGATCAACCAACCGACCAACCAACCTCAGTGCGACGTTTTCTTCACTCCCTTCCCGAATTTGGCATCGAGGCCGAGCCCTGCAAAGACACAAAACGAGCCACGTGCACCGAAAAATGCTTTGTGTTCCTCCAACAAGGAATTTGGGGGAAAAGAAGCAGCCTGAGAGCCCCCAAACTGAGGGTGTTTGGGCACCCCCGGGGTGGGGGACACGCCGAAGGGCACTGGGAGCACGTGGGGCCACTCGAGGCCTGGGGGGTAACACAGGGAGCCTGACAGAGGGAGCTCAGGGATCTGCTTCCCAGACTTACCCAGGAACACCAGGATCGTCCCCACCCACTGCATGGGGCTGATGGGGTTGGCAAACAGGACGACCGAGGCCAGGATGGTGAAGAACTTGCGGGTGGTGGTGACGATGGAGCAGGTGAGGGGCCCGAAGTACACCACGGTCATGAAGATAAAAGTCTGGGGGCAGCAAACAGGGGCTGTTTGTCCCCAGCCCCAGGAACAGGACACCAGGGATGGTGTTTTCAGGGAAAAGCCGAAGGATCTTCTCTCAAATCCCGACTGTTTGCACCTGAACTCAAATCGGTTTTACAGAATCCCGGGATGGTTTGGGTTGGAGATGATCCAGTTCCACCCCATCCCATGGGCTGTGCGGGGTCCAGGCACCCCCCAGGGCAGCACAGGGTGGTCCAGCCTCACTCCAAGAGCCAGCCCAGGATGTGGGGAGCAGGGCAGGAGCACTCACCTGCCCCAGGGCGCTGGTGAGGCCGAACAGGAGGATGTTGGAGATGATGCTGGGATAACGTTCCGTGAAACTCAGGAACTCCCAGAGCTCCCCAGTGAACAGGATCCCTGGAAGACACACCAAGATGGAAAACCCTGAACTTGGGGGCCCAAA